TATCTATCTGTAACCATATAGATTATTAAAGTAAAGGCTTTGCGATTTAAAATGAGATTAAATGGATTGTTATATGATCTTTCTCTTTACAAAGGTACAACAGCTTAAAATATCTTTCATCGTCCTTCATCATTAATAATTGAATTATGCTGTTTATTGTACGTAAAAATGTTAGTTTAATACAACTATAGTAATAGAGTTGCAACTAGAATTATTTTATGATGATAGAATAGCTCGATCGTTAAACTACAGATATTTACGCATTTCTCGTATAGAAATTTAAAGGGACAAAAATGCAGATAGTACAAAAATGAATGTAAAACAAAATATTTATATCTGAGTCATTTTACGAAGAAATTGATTTGTTTGACTGGGGATTTTGAAATGAAACACGTGGGAAAGTGTAAATATGTAATCGATTAATTACTATATCTGTTTATATCTACCAATTACTTTTAAATTGCTGTAATTACCGACCTTTAATCGATGCCGTGGAAATTCCCATTTATCTTCTTGTTTATTCTGCGCACCTTGATTCTCTTTTTCCCAGGGCTCGTATCGATTGTTATGCGCTTTTGGACCTCGCCATCTTTTCAAAACGAGCGATGGATCGTCTGATATATTCGAAACGCTGACCGAGGCTTGCTCTTTCTGTATAAAAAAGAAACAAAAGTCAGTTTTTTTTAGAATGGAATAAAATTCCATCGAGAAAACGTGAATGATGTTAAAACTTTGTATTATGAGATTGATATGATAATATATTGATGATATGATAATAAATATATTGCATTACAAGCATTAGAAATTCTTAAATTCTGTTAAGATAGTAAATAATAAAATTAGAATCAGGAGGATTCTACATCTTGAAACACAAACGAGAATCAAAAATAGAAAAAAAACTTCAGTCATTGTTAGAGCTTTCAAAATTTAAATACATCTAATCAAGAACCATTGCTAATACTTAACAAGTTTCCAAATACAATTTGCCTGCTGAAAATGAAACCTCCAATATAATTACATTATTCTTAAATCTTATTTTGAGTCGCAGACTGTCTCTAAATTCACAAATTTTTAAATTCAACTTTCTCAAAAATAAAGCTTCCAACATAATTCTACTTCTTCTGTCCTTAATTTTCACATTACTCTAACTACAATTAAATCTGTAGTTTGAAACTTTTATTATAATTTTACGTTACTCTTAATTGAGATTTTCAATTCACAATTCTATTATTATTAATTTTTATCCAATATTGAGCCATGTAATTTCTCTGACTTTGTTGATATCTTTAAAAATTTACACCTATAATATATACAGGGTGTTTCTCGCAATTGTGACGGATTATAATCTCAAGAGTTTGTAGAAGATACAAAAAAATTGTAGGAGAGATGCAACTTTTAGGAATGGAATCTTTTTATACATTAATCGATGAAGCTTGACATTCTCTACAAAGTATTAACTTATACTGTTGATTAGTTTTAGGAGATGTTTCAACTGTAATTTTGTAAAAAATCTATCATACGAAGAACAAGGAACAATAAGAGCAACGTTCTTGTATTCATGCCGTTCTTATTTTTCATGCACGGATTTTATAAAATTAAAATCAAAATATCTCTTATACTAATTTTCCAACATACATGGATTAATTTTTCTTTTCTTTTTGTAAAGAATGTCGAGCATCGGTCAATGCACGAAGAGATACGTGATTTTATTTAAAAAAAAAAAAAAAA